GGTTGTCCTACCAAGTAGCTTGTTGGCAAGTTTGAACAGAGCTCTCTGATCATGTCCACATCCATCGATCTTAGACTGGAGGTAAGAAACCCGAGAATCTTCAAGCGTACGGTGGTAAATATTGCATTGAATCTTATACTCGGCGAAATCACAATGATCTTTAGATTTCAGCCATTTCCGCTCAGCTTTACGTCTTGCTTGTTTAGCTATCCTACAATTATTGGTGAACCAAGCAGGGGATGCATGATTTGAAACGGTCTTAGATTTTAATGGGGCCAGTTCATCTCTAAGTAAGGTAAGTGTATTGTTGTACTGGGTTATTGCGTTGTTCACATCCATGTCATCACTAAAATTAGAGAGAGAATGCGCAATTCTCCGATCGAGAATGTTGATGTCAATGTTGTTAAATTTTCTAAAAGTCACAACTTTCTTGGCAGGTGCTGGTTTGCGCGCATCGAGTGTAACGTGAAGAAAGAAATGATCAGACAAGGGATATTCATGAACAAGTGAAAGTTTCAAAAGATTAGGATTATTTGTAATGACAAGGTCTAGTGTATGTCCTTGTTTGTGAGTGGAAGAATTTATCAGTTGAGTGAGATTAAGTGAATGAATTATATCCAGTAAACGAGCAGTATGTATACTACTCGGATCGTCTATATGAATGTTGAAGTCACCAGTAATGACAAGATTTGAAGATAAAGAATATTGTTCTAAAAGGGTCGAAAAGTCAGAGAAAAATTGCAGAGTGGGATGAGGCAGAGGTCGATAGATTGTTAAAAGTGTGAACCTTTTAGTGACAGTTTTATAGACCTTTTTTGATCTAATAATAGGGAGGTTTCGCATGTAAACGCATACAATTTAGTGTGACGGATATGTCATCACTATCCGCCAACCATGTGGACGTCACGCATATCTCGCTAACTACATGAAAGTGAAAACGTGTGGAAAATTTTTGATTTCTAGCAAGATCTTCAATTTTTCCACATTTTACAGTAAGTTTAAAAAATAAATGTATCTTAAATATGTACGTGCCATTTTTGTGACTTTTAAAGACAGCAAGTTAGGAATGGATGAATGTCATTTTGGGGTAGTAAAACATCGGTGCTACTGTAGGTGGTATAGGCCTAGCTAGGGGCCTCCCTAAGCCTAGAGTAGCCAAGCATTTTTGGGTCACCAAATAATCAACTCTTCTGGGCAACGAGGGAAGGAGTGTTATTTGGCTACCACTTCCAATTTCCAAAACCTTACGCACCAAAACTTTCGGTCATGCCATAATCTGATTTTGAGAAGCATGATGAGAGAAGAAAACAAATAGCCTAGGCTGGTCCTAAGGAAGGCCCTACGCTTAAATTTCGAAAAGCACAGCATTTTGCGTAAAGCACAGCATGGCTACAAACCACTACGGAGAGCTAAACATATGCGTACACATATTTGTTCGCTTGCGAAACCTTTCTATTAATGATAGGCAGATGATAAAATTAGTAGTGATGGTGAAATAGTTGAGTAAATGTATAAATTTCTTCCATTACATGAAGAACACTCTTACAGGATTATTAGGAGCAACTGGAGAAGGTTTGTGTTGTGAAGTCTTAACTGCAGGAATTTCAATCTTATTACTCGACAACAAGGTGCTGGCAATCTGTGTAGGTTTCATGGAAGGCAAATACTGCAAGAAAAAAAAAGAACTTGTTATTTCTAAGGCACATACTACAACAAAGAGTTGTTTACTTTCTACTTGCTTTCATGGAAGACCAATATACAGTATACTATAAAAATTAGCTTGTTTGTATCATTTTTATTGAAGGAAAAAGAGCTTGTTATTTGTGCTGGTTTATGGAAGGCAAATACTATAAAAATAAAGTAGCCAGTTATTTCTATGTTTATTTGTGTTGGTGTTTATTATTTAAAGGCAAATATAACAAAACAAAAACGGGCTTGTGTTGATGTATGAAAATCCGACAGTCAGAAAGAATTCAATTCGCTAAAGTTCTATCAGAACTATAAATTTTTGGGTAACAAGTATTTGTGAGATGCCCATATTTGGGTAGGAAACAACATAATTATGCCAATGTAAGGATATGATACTGTCATGCCCACATATGGTTATAGGACGATGGTTCTTAATAAGCAAATTATTCTGAAATACGACAAAAAATTAAATCATAAAAAATGCGTTTAAAGAAACTAAAATTAATATTTTAGTTTAGTATTTGATGAATATTTTTTCAATAAAGAAGGCCAAAACACAACACTGTGCCAAAGTGAAGTAGAGGTGACCCCACCAGATCTAGAATTAATTCCGTTACCAACAAACACCACAAGATTGGAAGTTCAGCTAAATATGACATAGCAAGTTAAAAATAAAAAGTTTATCAGAGACTTGTTTTTATTTATGAGTAGACACGAGATTTTAGAGGTAGAATGTTTTTAGGCTTTAAAGGTAAAGGTAGGAGAATAACCCATAATTTGCAGCGTCATTGTGCTGAATTATGTATGGGCGTGGTCCGTGACTGCTTTGCCGCCTTAAAGAGGCTCTTCTTAGTAGATACAAAGCCCTGGTATTTGGTGGAAAACGGTGTGGTCATATGATCTCCTTTGCAATAGTTTCTGGGGGGTTTTTAGGTTGCTTGTTAGACTTTAGGATTGATTTAGTTTTTTTGGTTTTTCTTTTCTTTTTTTTTTTACAGCGCATACAGATTATGCGCTGTCCCCAACCATTACCATATAGGATAGGCGAATACTGAGTGTCTGCCAAACTATTTGGTTAAACTTTGTATGGCTGATTAAAAAAAAAAAAAGCACTGTGTTTTTGTCACAATTATGCCTGAAACTTCATGTTTGGTTTGAAAATACTCCTGCTATTACCAGGTTGTTGTTGTTGTATGGACAACGTCCGAGCAGGTAACAATATTTGGTTAGGCGTAAGAAGCAAGGTCAATGTAATAGAAAAAAAAATATCTAGTTCTACTCTGATGGGGCAAAAATGCCAAATTCAGGAAATGATACTTCGCCCACAGTTGCACTTGCACAAAGAACGAAAAACATGACTAGTTCTATTACAAGTCACTGACAAATTCAAAAGTGTAGCGACCCTGAAAAATATTTTTGGCATGAAAATATTCTTTGTTTTTTTATTTCAATTCTGTATTAGCCTGCTTAATATTAGGCCTATGGAACTATTCGAGGACAGCTTTGAATGCGGCATTTTAAGACTTATCATGCCAAGTACTTAAAACCGTCAGTTCACAATAAGTGGATGTGGTGCCAGTTGCAGAGGCAGATTTTCTTCAGAGAGAGCTCTCTCAAAGAAGCACTTGAACACATTCGTTAGGGAAAAAAATCATAATAATGTAACTTTCCAGAATATGAGGCTGTAAGATTGGGCCTTAAGCATTCAAAAATACTAAATTGTTAGAGATTCCGGAAGCTTAGCCCCTGAACCCCTTCAGAGGTTCTGGGACATCGCTTCTCCCACCGTTGGCCAAATATTGGCGCCGCCAATTTTTTTGAATGATTTTACACAAGCAAGAAATAAAAGATCAATAAGCAAGAGATAGTGAAATGAAGTGTCCTCATTCTTATTTTGGCAAAAATATTATATCAATCTTATAGTGCAGAAATTGTAATAAATTTAGTGTTCTAATATTGTGCTGTAGTACAATTTAAAACAGAATAGAATTAGAAATAGCCAAAAAACTTCAAACGTCTGAACCAGAAGTATAAGATATGATACTATAATGCACATATATGGATAAATAACACAAATTTGTTACATCAAATTTGGTAGCATAGACAAGTCAATGGCAAGTATGACTTGGGTGACTAACTGGGCATTCAGACTGTGTTCTCGGCGCATGTACTCGGCACATAATTTTCTCGGCACACGTCATTTTTTGTAGTCTGAACGTGTGCTAATGGAATTTATGTCGAGCACAGAATGTTCTAGCTAGAACCCATTTGAACCACGTTCTCGGAACAAAATTTTTTCGAACTACGACTCTGGAATGAAGCCTGAACATGTGCCGAGCATAAAATGTTATAACTGGGCGGGCTTCAGTGAAGTGACCTGACCTGCTTTGACATTCTTCCGAGGCGCAATGTACACATGTTAGGGCAAATAGAAAAATTTATTAGATTATCACTCCTGCAAGCGTCAAAAATTCGGGAAATATTGATGCGGGAATAAATTTTTTTTCCGCATCAATTATTTCAACAGCATAAAAATAACAATGCAATTTTGTGACTTTAAATACATTTTCTTTAAAAAACTATAACCAGTTTTTATACAATATTTACTATTACAGACCAAATATAAACAGTCCCCTCCCTCATCGATAAAAACAAAGGCGAAATAGGCCTAACCTATTGTTCCAATTAAAAAAAACCGCCCTTCATCATTTTTTTAGATCATAAGAGTGATAATCTAATAATATTTTCTATGTGCTTTTATAATACAGCAGTACTACTGTTCTCTTGATTAATTTATGCTGTAGGCCTAAATGGTTTGGAACAAAACAAAATACTGAAAACATGTTCTGACAGAGGAAGCACATGGAGTGCAGTCATCGAAATTAATTGCATAGTTGAAGTTTGGGAAGAAGGGAGATAGAAGCACAAAATACCAAAGGATCTGGGAATAAGCAACTTTTCCAAAAGGTATCCAACAATCTTGGGATTTCCAAGAAGACCCTGGGATCGTATAAGAGACAAATTTAATAAAATGGAAATAAAGTTAGACCTACAGTGACTCTGAGCTCCTCTCAAAATGTTACACATGCATAAATTGCCAAGAACATGGTTGTATAATCTGAATGATCGTATTTCGAAAACTTTTTCCTTCGGTGTGGTATGTGAACATGTGCCGAGAACATAATGTTACGAAAATATTTTATGCCGAGTACATAATCTGAATGCGCCCTAAGGAGTAAGGCACAGGCGCAGCTAACTACTAATTTAACATTGGCTCTGGTTTGAGCTGCTCCTCGTGCAGGGCTCGGTTGGTAAAACCAAGTCTTCTTAGATAAGAACTTAAAAATGGAGGTGCAGTGTGGACATCTGGTTTTGTTTGCATTTTAAAGAACCCATTGCATCTTTCGGAAGAGAAGGGGGTTACCCCAATGATACATGGTTCATTTCAGATCCTGTCGTGGAATGATTTGAGAATGTAGCTACTATAAGACCCCTTTATAGCAGCTAGGTTTTCTCGGACCACATACATAAGCAATTCAGCAAAAATGACGCTGTGAGCTATGGGTTATTCTCCTACTTTTAACCTTTAACATAATAGTTAATTCCTGTAACTGGTGAATAAATGTTCTGTTGAAATGTTGTAAAAAGTGCTTACCAATTCAAATGGGCTTTTTAAACTTGCCATAATACGTGCTACTTTATTCTTCACGTCTACAGACTGCTTCAAACTCTGGTCTTGGTTACCAAACACGCTAATGATGGGTTCTGCCATTCTGACAGGGGGACCATGGCTTTCACCACCACCAAACAATGTAGAACTACCTGTGACTGAAACTTTAGTAAAGAATAAATTGTTTTAGTAGTTTTAAAAGCAATTGAAAATAATATATTTCAGTTTTAAGGTTTCTAAGAATTACATGAATACATTAATCAAATTAATTAATCAGAGATTGCAATTTCGACGAATTTGCAGGTGCAAGACTTTAGTTTTGATAACCCTTTCCCTAAAATTATTTCTTTTAGACCCCTAAAAATAAACCCCTGCCATTACAGTAGTAAAAATTCTTTAATAAATCTGCATTTTTTCTTGAAAAATAAACATATTTATGAGCAAGGCACGAGGCAGCGAGTACATCTTTTAATCTTATCCAAAAAGTGTTTGTTAAAGAACAAGATATTCAAAGTTTTTGATTGAGAAGACATGAAATAAACTTGTTCAGATAAACTTAGAGGGAAGTTCAGTCCATACTTAATGAAAGAGCTACAACAGATCTACACATATTTTTTTAGGTTGGTAATATTACATTTATGCGCAAGCTTTTGTTCCTTTAGCATGAGAGCTTGAAAGGCCTGGAATGCGCGAGTCTCATGCATATGGCATGGGACTTGTTAGTTTGCCTAATTTTGACCTATAAACGTAATGTAATGTCTTTTTTACTGGCACTACATCTACACTTATAATTTTGCCAAATTTCTTTTAAATGTCTGTCTAAATGTGAAACAGTTTCCACCTCCCCCCAAGAAAACAAAAAAAATTCAAAAGGTTTTTAATATATTCACTTGGGCATCTGACACGCAGCCAGATGTCAAAAGATGGGCTAACAGCTCCGTGGTGCAAAGAGTTATAATCACAATCAAAGGGAGCAGGCAGAAAACTGAGTCAGTATCATAAATCACATTAAAATTTCATTGCTATTATTTCTTTCCGAATACCTGGATTTTTTCTCTCATCGGCATTAAGTTGGTTGGTTGATTCTCGATGAGTTGTATCATGAGGGCAGTGTATAAGACTCTCGAGTGGCTCAATCTTTCGAGGCTTGAACGTTGGAACATCTTTTTCCTGTTTCTCAGAAGTCTTTGGCTGAAAGATTTTAATTAAAGAAAAGAAAAAAAAATTAAACTAGAGTAGAAGTCAGCTTTGCTGATGGGCATAAAACAAATTAGCATTTCTCAGTGTCCATAGCTTTCAAGCTTCAATTAATTACTACCAGTGGTAATTAATAATTAATAAATTACAGTATTAGCAGCCTTTAATTACCACCAGTATTATATCTTCATACAAAAGTTAATATCATGTGATTTACTATTATTCATTGCATATTATGCATTATCTTGAGAAAAAAAAAAAGTGTCCTACTGGGAAAATAAATGGGTATACCACTTGCCCTCATAGCTCATTTGGTAGAGTATCTGAACGGTAATCAGAAGGTCATGTGATCGAATCCTGATGGGGACAAACATTTTTCTCAAATATTTATTACAAAGTTTCAATAAAGAAATAGAAACTATCAGAATCACATGGGAATGTGTTTATAAAATTAAAATAAATATCAGACGAGCAGCAAATGAAACAAAAGTATATTCATTAGTTAATTACCCATAATATTTTGCTTAGGGTGGGGTATGCAGGTCATTAGGACCTTAGCTGAGTAACGTCCCTACCCTGTGATGCATAGTTTGATTAAGGTTGGGGTATGTGGATCATTAGGACCTTAGTGGAGTGACGCTCCTACCCCACAATGCATAGTTTGTTTAGGGTGGGGTATGAGGGTTATTCAACATTAGTGGAGTGACGTCAATACCCCAAGATGCATAGTTACTATAGCATTGTATTTTGGTTTAATTGCGTTTGTTCCGAATATTGGCACTTGCAGCAATAAACAATTTGCAAAACTTTAAATGACTTACTAAATTATTCTCATGCATTCTAGCCTGAACCACAAGCGTGTGAATCTCAGCTAAGTATTGTCTCACCAATGGAGGAGTAGGATTACAACATGCTAATATTCCCTCAGGTTCCCTGTAAATGCAAAACATTTAAAGAAATCCATTAAGGCATTATTAATAAGGTTATATTTGCTTTACCAGTGGAGGGGGGGGGGAGGGGCAGCTGGCTTGGGCACCCTTATTTCAAAATTTAAAAAAATGTAGAAAAAAAAAATATATTCAAATTTAAGTCTGAGAGTGCCATCTAATCATTAATCTTCTTACCTCAGCCCCAACAATGGTGGGGCTGAGGTGGTGTAGATCCTCCATCTGCCCTCCTGGGCCCCCTCTATTTCAACTTTCTCAATCGACCACTGATTCCTGACTTTAACTTAAATAAAATATCTGAATTGCGTTATTTTGTATACATACAATCTTTGGTAAATTTATGTAGGTTTTGATCTCTCAATTAAAAAATATAATGAGAAAAGTTTTTACACTCAGTTAAAATATGAACACACATAATTGTTAGTAATAACATTCCAATCATAGAACCTTAGATTGTCTGTTAATCGTTTTACATTTGTAGTCTGTGAATCAGGGGAAACATAACACCTGTATATATTCTATTAATTTGATCGGTTGAAAACAGGTCATGTGAGATTGATTTAAATAAATATTCCATAGTTATTTGAGTACTAGTCAACGATCGTTGAATAGTATTGTTTCATTTTCAATACGACAAAAATCTCAAATGCAAAGCGAGCGAGAAAAATTAGCTTAGCCTCTAGGCAACCTGTACGTCAAGGTGGTCATTTTGCAGCCCGATAAAATGACAGGTCCATTTGGTAGCGCACTAGGCCATTTGTACTTTTGAGCGAAGAAGGTTTGAAGGAATTACTGAATGAAAGTGATGCCGAATCAACAAAAAAGGCAATAAAATATGCAGTTAACCGTATGAAGTATTTCGCCAGCTTCAGAGGTGAGGATTTGAGTCTGTTATTAGACGAAACTGAACTAGGCCTCCCTTATGCCTTTTTTCCGCTATGCAAATTTATTCACGGGAATCGAAAGCGTTGATTCATGCCCGTGCGCATTCACATTCTTATCCGAGTTTTTGCGAAGTGAAAAAATGCTCAACCAATCAGAGCTCAGGAAGCGAAGCAACGCTTTGATTCATGCAAATAAGTTCACCTAGTCGAAAACCGGCTTTATGCCTAGTAGCCTAGGCCGGTTTAATGCTGGACTTCGAAACGAAGATGGGTCCAGAGTTGTTGTATAAAACAAATAATGAATGTTTCTTATTCGTACAAAGGGTAGAATATTTTATTCAGTGAACGATTGGATGCTCTATTCAACTCTGCTACACCCCGTTTAATAGAACTTCCAATCTTTCACCTCACAAAATATTCTACCCCATTGCACTCATAAACATTCATTATTTGTATACTAACATGTATTCATCTGGGTCTCATTGGAACTTGATTTAAACATTATTTAGTGTATCATCATTCTTAAAATGTTACTTTTTATACTTTTATTTGAACTGATTGTTAAACAATTTTTTTTTTATTTTAATTTTTATGAAGAATTTCAATGTATAATTGTAAATCACATGCAATTCAGTGTTAATTTTATTGCTATTTGCGATAGAGATAAAATGAAATTAATGAGTACCATACATTATATAAAAAATAACTAATAATACAAATTAAAAAAGATGATAAATAAATAAAAAAATATTAAGTAAAATAATAAAAAATGTAGATAAGAAGCCTATATATAAAATACACAATAAAATTAACATTAGACAGTATATGACAAATATAGCAAAGTTTAAACTAAATATTAATGTGATAAAATATGACTGTAATAAATTTAGAAGATATATTAGATCCTTTTAAATGGGCACTTCAAACAGTACTTTAATTGATTTTTTAAGCTAATCTCAGATTTTATGATTTTTTTTTTCTAAAGTTATAATTTAATAAATAATATAAGTGTTAAACTAACAACAGATCCATGGCCATGTGAATATAATAATGGATATACATATCCTATTGATATACCTTGGAAGGTTTTCAGCTATATGAAAGAGCATGTGGCTCGGTAAAACATAGCCAAGGCTCTCATCCTCTGTCCTCGCAATACTGTCTCGCCAAGCAAATAACAGTTTGAAAGCAAACAACTGCAAAGATAACATATTAATTACATCAATGTGTTGTCATATGCAATGTCAAAACAGAAAAAATGAAATAAATATTAAATATTATAAGTCAGTAGTGACGTCATCACTTTCATTTGCACATAATTTTCCTATCCCCAATCAAGCACTAATGTGATATAGTGCCTCAGATTTTCTCGTGTGCAAAAAGCTAAATTAAACCTAGGGATTTACATCGTGATGAATATTTCGTTGCTAGGCCTAGCTTTGAACACACACAGCGGACCTAACAACTCTCTTTCAACAGAGCTGGTTAGCATGAATGAAGCCTAGACCAGGCAAGGCAACTGACTTATTATAAATGGGCTGAAAAGAAATAATTCATAATAATGCTTACAATGCATTTTAATCTACTGTATTAAACAAATGTCTACCATGAGGTTAGGCCTACCTAACCTTCATTAAAAACAATCAATTTACTCATATTTATCATATCGCAAAGAGCTGCGAAGAGTGTTTGTGTGCATACTACTAGTAAATCATACTCATATACGCAGCTAATGCACATACGCAGTTAATATAGTGATCACTGGGCAACCGTTTACCGCTACATGGCAGTTTGATTTAATATATAGCCTAAATATAATTATATAAAACAAGGTGGCTGACTTATAAAGCAATTATAGTCAAGTTAGTTCAGACACTATAGAAAATTTTAGTCTTAGGAACTATTATTACCTTCAAAAATAACCTTCAGTCCTGCGGGCTTCAGGCAATTTTTTCAAGAAATAATGGCTAATTCAGTCTCTATTTCAGGGGTTCTCAACTATATCGCAATAGGGGCAAAAATAGTTAATTGAATAAATTTGAAGGGCCACAGCATGAGGTGTACTTTGGAGCATATCAAGCGAGCTACTGTGTGAGAGGCCGAAAGTTGATGTGTTATGATTTCTTTTCTTTGCGGCTTGCTGCGATAGTTCTTCCGATTTGATTGATTGAATCGCTACAATTTGTGGGGCACCATATAGGCCTAGATGACAAAACACAATTATTAAGGTTAGAAATCCATGCCCAAGCCTATTCGGCTCATTTTTTTTTTTTTTAAGATTACTCATCCGATGGAATAAAAATAGCGCACAGTTGAAATTTTGCAATGAATGTAGGCCTAGAATCGCAATATTTTACATCAGACAACTTTAGACAAATTTTTGTAGGGCATCTGTCAAAAAATAAAGATCAATTCATTCACATTTATTTTATTTGTAAAGAAAAACCTAAAACAACACTTTTTTGAAGCTTCTTGTTTTACCGCCCCTATTTTTTTAAGTGAGTTAGGGGCGGGTGAGCAGGGCAAACAAACCATTTTTTTTTTAAGGCCTAATTACATACTATTGGCAGCAAATGCTACCTGCCCCCTAAATAGAGTACTAAACCCCAAGCAACATACATACAATACATTATAATAAGATTTCCCTGTACCTGTTTTTTGTTCAATGTTTTGCGGCTCCTTCGGTAAAATTCCAAGTGAGAGTCTTCCTTGATGATTGGCTTCTCAAAGCGCTGCAAAATTATAAAGTGTTGAAAATCACTAATGTATATTTAAATACTATTGGAATAAAACAAAAATAATGACAACTATTGAAGGTAATAACAGTCTAAAGATATAGATAACAATAAAATACAAGGTTCCAGTTGCAAATAAACATAATCATAACTACATTCGAAAATACTCAAAAAAATACAGATTGCATTAAAGAAAAAAAGTAGAGTTGGAATTACACACTGACCTTTAGACAAACTTCCTTACTTCGTTCAAGCGTAGACTGCAATAAATTCTTATTATTGTTTCCACGATCAAGTAGTGTGTTCTTCATAATGTGATAAATGTACAGAAGGTAGTGAGTATCCTCGCGTGCATATTTTTTCATCTCATCTGGCATTGGCCTCAAAGTAACAATTAGTAAATTATTACGATAATATTAATAATTATGAATTAATTACTATATCAAAGATACTATCAGTCAAAAAATACAGGAAAATACTTCAAAAATTCCAATAAAAATTTGAATATCTCATTTAAAAGAAATTATATAAATTATTAGTTTCTACTAAGAAACAGATCAAAAATTGGCTGGTAATCAATTTAAAAATGTTATTGTAAAGTGTCTGTAAATCAGTGAAAACAAATTTTACTACAGTATACCTTATAAATATTAATTTAAGGTAAAACATTATATTGGTCAGTCCTAACTCAGTACAATGTGCGGTAGTTTTGACTACTTCCCTGAGCTTTCAGGCCAAGTGGTACACCCTTGGATTTTTCTTATTAGGACACATTTTTTTCTCAAGGTATTGCATAATATGCAATGAATATTAGTAGTAAATCATATGAAAGTAATTTTGGTATGGAGGTGGAGGTCTATCTCCATACCAAAGTTACTTTCATGTATTTTTATGTGAATTCGGTTCTTTGTATTTTCTTATGTTTAATTTTAGGTTAGTTTTAGGTAAAGAATAGTTTTAGTAGTAGTTAAGATGCCCTGGGTATGAAGTTAAAATGCATCCACTCAAACCGCCAGTGACAAATTGGCAAGCCCATCGATGGCCTTAGCAGCCTTTGGGTGGGAGTGCAAATGGTCACCCAGAAAAAAAAATAAATAAAAAAAAAAAAAGCTGAACAAAGGGCAGATAAGCTAATCGGAGCCAATGGTCCAACATGCTTTAAAGTTTAAGGAGTAGGATTAGTTTGTCTTTAGGGTTAGATTAATTATAACTTCCTTGGTCCGTTTTTATATCCTATATGTTAATGTAACAAAGAACCGAGTCTAGCACTTTTATTGATGTGATAAATAAGTATACCTATGTCTATGTCTAATCAGTGTATACCTTATTCTCCAATCTGCAAGTTGGTACTCTTTGGCTGCATCTACATCACAGTACATTTTCAGAAGATACGCTAGAGAGTGCTTAGCCAAGCCCAACACCCTGGAGGCTTGACCCGTGTCAAACATGTTTACTATGTACACACCAAAGTCTCTCTGTAGCCAGACAACATCCATATTAGCACCATGGAAAACCTGGAAGTGAAGACCGACAATGGCATTAAAATTCATGTTGTTATTACAATGATTTGACTATCAATTTAGGCGAGACTTTTTTATATCTTTTTTTTTGTGAAACTAATTATTTAAAGATTGTCAGAGGAGGCTGGAAAGAAAAAATAAAAATAATATTTTGTTTTCTCATTTAGTAAATAGTTTTGCCAAAAACATCCAGATGGAGGAGAAAATAATAATAAAATTTTATTGGTGAATGTAAACAATGTTGTATTGGAATGGTTAAATGCTTTAAATTTATATACTTGGGAAGAAATATACATATCTTATTTTTGGAGATTTTAATAATAATAGTAATTAAAGTAATAAGAATAAAGAAAAACTTCGATTTTTTTAAGAAATTTTCATTTTTTCGTGGCAGCGGATGAGCTCAGTTACTACTGGAACTGGTCAAAAATACAATTTTTATTTTCATTCAAAATTATAATTATTGGCGGGCGGCTGCAATACTATTGCAACCTTGTAAATACAACCACAAATTTTTTTTAAAGAAAGAAACCCAAAAAATAAAATAGAAAAATTAATTTTTATTTTTTTTTTGTCCAATTCAAAATATTTGAAATTGGAAATTTTGGTTGGGTCCCTGGATATTTGTGGCAGCCACCCTGCAGCACCAGTAACAACATTTAATAGATAAATTGTCCGTTTTTTCCCCCATAAATCTCATACAAGTGTTATTTGTGGAGAAGAGTAATCTGACTCCAATTAAAGCCTGAAGCTGGCTGGGTAGTAACTGAGGTCATCCGGAGTGGAGTTGTTTTCAGTTGGTCTTGTCCAAGGAACTGAACCCAGGACCCTGGAATTAGAAGGCAAGCACCTTAACCACTAAGCTTTTTAACTCCACTCCAATCGAAAAGAGCTCAAATGAATGAATCAATATTTGTGTTGATAAAGACAATTCTGTTGATTTTAATTTTTTGATAGTTTTACTACAATTCTATTGATTTTAATTTTTTGATAGCTTTACTACCAACATTTCTAAGATTGTTTAATTTCTTTTTATGGTTTTTTTTTTTCTCCTTGTGAAATCAATCTGAAATTGTATTTTTTCCTTTATTCACAATCTTACTGTAGTTTTAAGTACAGTTGCCTAACTCGAATAAATTCTAAGTCGATCTTATTTTACAAGCAAATTTGTTGTGTTTTCCATTAATTTACGATCTATAGGTCAAATTTATCCAAGTCAAACAATTTTTCAATGCCACTTTAGATTCAAGTTCAGCTGTAGTTTAAGTTCCTTCCTGTAAGTAGTAGGTTTCTCGCTGTTGAATGAAAATTTTAATAAATAAATAAATGAAAATCTAAAGTATGAATTCCTACCTTGACAATCTTTGGATCAGTAAACGGCTGATTAAGAATGTGCAGCTCACTGCGAAGGGCAAGTGCATCCACAAGGTAGTCATGCTTACCAGTAGAAAACTGCATCAGACATATGAAGCCAAGGAACGATCGATAAGTATGAGCCTAAAAACATAACAATCAATAGCTCAACATATTTATATATACATATTCATAACATTATACTTATACCTTTTATCTCTTGGCAAAAGGCATGGTGCAATTTCAAACATTATTATTATTGTATTCAATCATTTAGTATATATTCCAATACATTAATTAATTTTTTTATATTTTAAAAAACTTGGGGAAAAGAGGAATAAACACTCATTTTTCCACCTTTTCTCCCAGTTATTAAATATTCAAAAATCTGTATCTCATTAACCGCTCACAAGTTTTTCATCAAATATGCTTTTTGTGTCTTAGAAAAATCAGTTGTACAACATATAAAAATATTTTTTTCTCTGGAGCTCGATTTTAAATTAATCATTAAATTGCAAGGCTTAACCCTGGGCTATCTACTGCTTCTTTGTGACATACCTCTAAATCCACAGCAAACTCTGACGATTCATTAAGAACTTTGGTCAAATCCTCAAGTCCTTCGACAGTGTCGATGAATGTGAGAGGTGTGTCCTGGAGGGGAAGCACTTCAGGCTTCTCCACTCTCAACAGCTGTTCTTGTGTGAATTCCAGATGTTCAAGTTCATACTTATAAGGATGAGCACAACTAAAAAAAACAAGAAAAAAATAAAGAAAATAAATAAATAAAATTCCTGTGACCTTTATCTTCGACCTTTCCTTTCCAAAATTTAATTATTACTTTCTTAGAGTATTACTGTATGTACCATTCCATTAAATGTTCAAAAAACTTTTTAGTTTTTGAATAATCATCTCGCTATTACAGACAGACAGACAGACAGAGTGGTGAATACAACCTCCTCTGGCCGAGATAAGAAATATATTACTGTCGGTGGCATAATTAGAAGGGGTGGTTGAGTAGTGTGGAAGTTTAGTGTCCGAATAAACAACAAAGCTAACATCTTGTGTATAATTATTATAAAAATAAAAGATAGACATTCACAAAGGCCGCCAAAAGGTGGCTTTAATTACGTGGTTTTTAATCAGAGGTGGTTTTTAATTAGATGGAGACAGCGGTGGCTCCCGAAATTTGCAGACAAGGGGTCTGACATGTTCGATTGAGGGTCCGAATCAAGAGGCTGACTAGGGCCTTGGTCATTGTCTTTCATGGCTTAGTATGGTACAAATTGTGCTTTTAGACCACAATATTAGGGATTGGCAATTGAAATAATGTTATTTTGATAGGCAAATTATTATTTTTTTTTAATTTTTGATTTCCTCTTTGTGGTGTTGGACAACACAGGGGCACCAGGCCTGTCCAACCTGTATTTACTTGATGTGAGCTTGTTTTACAATAATTGGGGTATATTTTAAAGAATAATAGAAAGCACTGTGTTTAAGGAAGGTTGACAAGATTGCATGTGTTGGTTCCAAATAATGTTGACAGGCCCATAAAGGTTTGGGGTGATTAGCCACACTACTTAACTACTTTCCCTTCTTGGATGCTATGCCTGGGAAGGACACTTTATACACCTGCTGCAAGAATTAAAGGTCACACATTAATAATTATATTTATTTTTAAACTATACAAATTATGATGTCATACATGTTTTCTGTTTGTTTGGGTACTTCCTGATGTCTCTCCTGATGAACAAAATCAGCGACTACTAAAGAAATATCAACATCATCTGAAAAACACAATAATAAAACATCACAAACTAATCAGTAACTACATCAAATAAAATTACAAATAATTATTTTTAAAAAAATTTGGTTTCTTTTTCAAATGATGATACAAACAATCCAAATCATCTTATTGTTCATACACAGATTTCATATATTCAAAATACATAATTACTATGATATTACTTAACAATATCAATGTAATTAATGAATATTTATTAATAGAACATTGTATTAGGCCACGCCTGACCAACTTAAAATCAGTGAAGATCTAGGATTGTTTTTGTCATTCTTTGGTTATCATATTACCAAAATATACAGGTCGAGCGACCTTTGGGAAATAAACCATGCCCAATTCCACATATAGGCTCTTTATGAAGTCTAAACTACATATATTTAGAAGTCTTGCAGGTTAAATACGGTTTATATTTACTGGCCCTTGGGCTTAAGCCCATCCCTGAAAGATTTATGTCAAGTTGTTGGTTTAAACCTTTTCTTCCTTGGCTGATGTAACATTTTATATTATTTTTGAAGATTTTCATTACAATTTTAAGTGTTTATGTAGTTAAAAAAAGATCGTTTTGTAACGATGTCATCACTGCACAATCGAATTTGTGATTGGAGGTTCCTAATTGGGAGATGTTACTAGATATATAAACTTACCCTTTGGTACATTCAAAGGTTGCCTTGCATTTGGCTTCACTTTGATAATTGGCACAAAAGGGGTGTTCTTATTATCAACTTTAGTCTTGAAAGAAAGTTGAGGGCGTTGTATATTTTTGGCCTGCATCAAGTGAAAAGTTTGTGACTTTTTTTCTCCAACAGACTACAATAAAACGAACAAGGTATCTGTTACTACAAAGATATATTTCTTGTACACACAAAAAAAAAATTTCAGTAGCGGCCATGTGATGCATAGCAATAAATAAAAGATAGAGCAATTCACCATATATTGGAACGTCCATTTGAGCAATTTTCCTCAATCCAAGTGGCGGGGCTATATCTTTATAATCACTAGCTAGGTACGCATTCATAGTCTATCATGATCTAGGGGATCATGATCAAGCCAGTCATTTTATGTGAACCTACCAGAATCAAATAACGTGCTCAGCTTAATCACCCTATTGTGATCTAGTGTACCTGTAGTGGAGCATCGTGATTCATCATGATTAACCTCGGTAACATGATAAATAAATTTATGAGATCAAATTTAACCAATCAGAGTTCAGTTTATTAAACAGTCTGATATTTGAGACAACCGCACTGGTTGTGCATCTGGTAGTTTTCATGCAACACTGCACAAATTAGCATAAATAGATCATGATGATGGTTTCTATATGAACGGTTTTCTCTAACATGCTCAAGTTATCATGATGAATAGATCATAATAACTTTATCACAAAAACTTATGTGAACGTGCCTATTGGCACTGCTCGGGTTTGTTTGTCTCCTGTAGTTTCTCCACTCCGTGAAATGGTCAAATATTTACTCCGCTCACAGGTGGGCGGATGTTCCATCTCATTCTTCTGCTATTTAAAGTTGTTTGTGTATAAGTATACTGTACCTTGCAGTGCGATTAGTGTAAAAGTATAGGAAACGGTAAGTTTGATCTGCCAATGCACGTATCAAGGTCAATTGACATAAACAAACATACAAACAACAAAGGTTTATATCGACTGACCTTGGATACAGGCATACACAATTTAAATTACGAATTGGCTTGTTAAAGACCTGTCTATACTTCCAACGATAACGATAAAAAGCCAAAAAGCAATTGTTTATATAGAAAATAAAAGAAATAAGATAGGTTTGCACACTAGCACAATTCGTTAACGATTTATCATGTATATATATATGTTCTATATGAACAATTGCTTTTTAACTTTTTATCATTATCGTTATCGTTGCAAGTATAAACAGGCCTTTATAACCATTGTTGGTCACATGATCCGAGTAATTCAAGAGACATTACCTTCCTATTCCAGCTTGATATGACAACTTTGGGAGTGTTGAGTGTTGTTGGTAGAACAGGTTCACTCTTCTTGACCCCTGATGCAGTGTCCAGGTGAATCCCCTAAATAAACATTCAAACATTTATATTAGAAAAAAAGTTATCAACATGTATGTGATCATGTAGTTGGTGAGGAAGATGGAAATGAGTGAGGATAGGGTTAGGTCAGAAGTAATTTTTATTAAATTAACTAAGTTAATTTAATGAGGGCGCCATAACTTCACCAGGGCTCTGTGTGTATGCTCACCAAATATTTCATCTAAATTCCGCATTTCTTCTTAAATATTTGTGTTTCATGTTTATATTTCTGTTTTTTTAAAGTTATGATCAGATGATAAAGCTTTACGGTTGTTGCACACAAACCATTGTTCTTTGTATTTTCATGTTGTCAGCTATGTTTATTCAGTTAACCCTTTCCAATCTGTGCCACTGCCATAACATAATATGGCTGCAGACATTTTTTTTTATAAACAGTAACTAACATAAGTCTTTTTTTTTTCTACAAAGCACAACCATGCCTATATACCTATTATAAAATAAGAAAATAGTAAATTAAAAGAGTAGCTAGTCACTGCCAAACATAATTATGAAATGTGTATACTGTATCACAGGTCAAATGACTTACAACCCTCTCGAGCATGATGTCATTAGCTTCAATAATCATGTCCATCATTTCCTCCACATCTTGACCTTTGCTTGGATCCAGTTTACCCTTGATGCCATTTTGCCTTAACAGTGTATTGACCCTTTTGGGAAAAGATAAAATATTATACTAATAATAATTAACGTAATGCACAAAAAACACAGACAAAGCATGTTTCTTTATCTCCTTAATTGAAACAATACCCAAGAAACACCTATGGAACATATAATTAAAACTTCATCAAAAAATGTTTGTAAAATATAACTTTGTTTACAGTTTACAAAAATAAAATTATAATTTTCATCAGCCTTCAGATTAGTTGCTCAATGGTGGGTTCCTGGAAAAATGTTTCAGTTTATTGTTTAAGCTTCTGCACTGAAATGCATCAGCTCCCACATCCTTGGTTCTCAACCCTATTTTGTGGTCCAAAAACTGACTGCAAGTTTCAAAATTTGGATCACAAGATCAAATTCTATTTGTTAAGTAATAGATTAAATTGTGTGATTTTTAAATTCCAGTGCAAATTAATTAAAAATGAACAGAAACAGCATTTCATTTTTCAATGCAAAAAATTTACAAACAATATAAAACATGTTAAAGTATGACTATGAGTAACGCCATTTCCAGGCATCTACTATTTATAGGGCATCATTAAAATTTGCTCACCTCAAGTCAACAGCATCCTCTAAATATGCATCTATTGGGGCTACAAAATTACCCATTAAAAGTGGACCCCAGTTTGAAAAAGGTTTGAGAACCATGGTACTAGATCTTTCTGATAAATCATTTGTTGGCATCATGTATTGTTACCCCAACTTACCTTGCTAGCAGTTTTTTGCTTTGGTTTTGCCTGAAATGCCTAAAGCTTTCAAAACTACTATAGTACTCATGTTCATCCCCAGCTGCTGGAAGACCATTTGCTGCTTTAGTCGCCTTCACAAGGAGGCCTAAGCCTTTCTGTGAACCATAAAAAAAGATATTTTGCCAACCAGCATACAAAAAGAGCAGGAATGGATCCAGGGGAAAAAGGGGGATAGACAACACATGGAACCAAACACAGCCACACAAGACAACATGGATGTGAAAATGTATCAATATTACCATGTAAATAGTCAATTTTTGTATTAAATAAATTACCAGACAATAGTCATTTATTCAATATCTAGGTAAAAGCCACAAGACAATACATACAAAAACACTCCACCCACCCCTCCCTAGCCCCACTGGCGGCACCCCTAAGGCGGACATACATTCCTGAATTGGCATGACATTCCTGCACACAAACCACTATAAAATGGCATATGATTTTCTGCATTGTTTATTCTTCTGTAATGGCTTTAGGGCACACAGAAAAATTTATTACATTTTTATCATTCCCGCCCGCTTTAAAAAATGTTGGAAATATTGAAGCAGGAATAATTTTATTTTTTTATTTATTTATTTTTTTGTTGCATCATTTATTTTAACTGCATAAAAACAACTTTGCAAAAAACAAGCGAATATAAAGGAATTTGCTCCGAATTCGACAGATTCCAAACTCCTCCAATTGATTAGATCAGACATTGGGATCGCCGTAGATTTTAATGCAAAACCCATTCTTTAAACTTATAGATTAAAGTTGCTAAAAATAAACAGCTCGTTAACTGCGGCTAAAAATAGGTAACACCGTGGTCCATCCCTAAAGAGACCCGCCCAATGGGCTGATCGGATCGTTAATTCAAAGTGTGAAGACTCACATGTTCCACAGCTGCGCCTAAATATAGGCAACACCTCAGTCCGTCCCTAAATCCCGTTTCCCACTTTTGAATTTATTAACGCAAGTCAAAAGCGCCGATTTATGAGCAATCGTATTCACATTTCTATCAGAGTTTTTTGCTTCAGCAAAATCGGTAGTTCGAATTGTTTCTACTTTTTGTGAAAAAAAAACCAACACAATAACACATGAAGGCACAAGCAAATTTATATTTTGTATTTAGGATGATGTACAGTAGGGCCTACTATGAACTATGGGAATATGTGAAATAGGTAATTCTTTGAAATTTTACTCAAATCTTTCAATTCAGCATATGCTGCAACAGACTGTTTTGTATGTGAGCTTGGGTCGTGACAAAGTGCGAGCCAGCGAGTCATGCGAGCCAATGCGCGAGCCAGCGAGCCATGCGAGTCATACATTTTAAATCCTTTTTTTCCACTGGGGAGCTTTGCCTGTGTAGTCCAGTCATGCGCAGTACATACACTTTTTCGAATCGTCGA